AATTATGGAGGGGTACATGCCAGCATATATATATATATATAAAATACTCTTGGTCGTTGGTAGAGTACATGCCTCGCAAGCCCAAGGCCCTGAGTTCAAGCCCCAAAACCATTTAAAAAATAAAAGAATACTCTGGAAATACAGAAGAAACTTGAAAAAAAAGGCAGCAGGCTGGTAGTGAGTGGTACTGAGTGTTATTTTTAAAAGTTATATGCATATGACTTTACCAAAAAAGGCATTTCAAATGTAAGCTAGTGAGAAAGAAACAGATATAAACACAGGGAAATAGCCTTTAAAAAACTTTCTGTTTAAATATGTGAACACTGTGAGAGAAAATCGAGGCATCAACAAAAGGTAACCAGAGGCCATAAGAAATTATCATATCCCCACAGGAGCCACTGCTAACCATCTCAACGTGCTATCTGTCCAGCCTTTGTATATGTACATGTGTGCGCAAGAATACATACCCACATATGTGCAGATGTCTGTGTGCATTTCTGTAACTGTGTTTTCATTCCTACCTTGGTATTGGAGTCTAAGGACTACATCTGAAAAGAGAATAACTATACATAAAATAATCTGGGTGCTTCCCAACTAATCTCACCCAAAGACATCTACTATGATTTGGTTGTGTGTCCCTCAAAGGCTCATGTATCGAAGGCTTGGTCCCCAGAGTCCCACTTCCGCACGCTACTGGAAGATGATGGAGCCTTTAAGGTGTGGAACCTAAAAAAGAGCTAGGGAGCCAGGTGCCAGTGACTCACATCTGTAATCCTAGTTACTTGGGAGGCTAATATGAGGATTGTAATTCAAGGCTAGCCTGAGCCAAAACATTCTATGAGACCCCCATCTCAGCAGAAAAGAAAAAGCTGGTGGATCTGCGGCATGCACCTGTCATTCCAGCTATAGCAGGAAGCCTGAAATAGGAGGAACATGGTCCAGATCAGCTTGGGCAAAAAAACGAAAATAACCAGAGCAAAAGGGCTGGAGGTGTGGCTTGAGTGGTAAAGCTCCTACCTAGCAAGTGCAAGGCCCTGAGTCCAAACCCTAATACCACCACAAAAAAAAAAAAAAGAGAGAGGTGGGGCCTAGTAGGAAAGATTTAGGTTACTGGAGGCATGCCTTCCAAGGGGACTGTGAGACTCTGACCCCTTTCTCTTCCTCTCTTTTCCCTCCTGGTCATGAGTTGATTGGTTTTGCTCCAACATACACTCTGCCATGATGTGCTACCTCACCTCAAGTTCCAAAGAAATGGAGACAAAATAAAATGGACTGGAACCTCCAAAACTGTGACACAAAAAAACCCTTTGCTCTTTATAAGTTGATTATCTCATGCACTCAGTATAGTAATGAAAAACTGACTAACACAGAAAATTGGTACAGGGAGCAAGGCAATCTTTGCTGCTACTATACACCTGGTAATGTGGAGAAGTCTTTGGAGTTGGTTTGCAGGAGGAGTTTGGAAATTTAGAAAAACAGGCTAAATACAGGCTAGAATGCTGATAAAAATGCAGACAGCAGTGAGGCTCTGTAAATGAAATTTCATATGGAAATAAGGACTCTCTTAGGAACTGGACTAAAGGCCACCCTTGTTACACTGTGGCAAGGAATCTGACTGCATTTTGTTCATGCCTTGAAGTTTCATGAGAAGCAGCACTTAAAAGTGATAGGCTAGCTTATTTGACAGTAAAAATTTTAAGGCAGCAAAGAATGCAAGTTGCAGCATGAGTATTACTGCACACTTGTAGCCAAATTTACAGTGAGAATCAGAAGCCAAAATGAGCAGAGAGGGAAGATTTGAAAATTTGCAGCTTGGTCAGAAAGGACACTTGAAGTTTGGGCTGAGAAAGGTAAGGGTACTAGCACCTTTAGAAGGAAACCAAGTGCTTAGCACAGGGACAACAGGGAGGACATCTTGAGGGTATTTTAGGAAGCTATAAGACCACTGGGACATTACAGGTCCAAAGATATAAGGTGCTAATTTCTTTCAAACATTTTCTCCTCAGGGAAAAGAGCTGGGCTTGCTGGCCCCTTCCTCTTCCTCTCCTTTGCTTCCTAGCCAGGAGAGGAGAGGTTTGACTCTGCTACACACTCCTGTCATGATGTGCAGCTTCACCAGTCCCAAAAGTAATAGGGCCAACTCATCATATGGCAGATGGTGAGATAAACCTCTTTACTACAGTTGATCACTTCAACTATCTGCCATAGTAATGCGAAATGGACTAAATATATCTAAGGCAGATTGCCTAAAGGAAAAAAAAAGAAACAGTACCATAATGAAGGCTCTGATGGCTAGCTAGCATCAAGCACAACTAACAGGACATACTTCTTTAGGAAGCTGTTCACTAGCATGCGAGCTCCCCAGGGCAGGCATATTTTTTGGCATATTTTGTTCACTGTTGTTTCCCTTGTGTTAGGAAAGTGCCTGGCACCAGTAGGCATTCAGCATCTGTTAAATGTATAAACTCACCTTAAACTCATTTTTATACTCCATAGTATTGAGCAAATGCAGGCACAAACCATGTAGCAGTCACAGAACAGCAAGTGCTGTTCAGGAGAGACAGAGCAAAGCCCATCCCATATCATCACTGACTTCTGTTAGGATTACATGCTGCTGTCCACAATAGGCCACAGCCACATGAGCAAAAGACTGCCCAGAAGGAAGTTACTACCCTTGTGACCGATACTGGTTACAGACTGCTCCTTGGCTGTCTAGAACAGTTGCTGGACCATCCCCATTACTGATGTCAGACCAGTGACATTCAAAACAGTCTTCTTGACATTTATCAGTGAAAACCAGCCTGCCAGAAGATGCTTCCAGAAGAACCAGAAGCACCGACCTGACTATGTGGACACTGCGCCTTCTCAAACCTTCAAGGCTCTCCTTGCCAATTCCCTACATTGGTGAGTTCTTTGGAAGAGCAAGGCCAAAAGTTCTCATGATCCTGTAACAGACCAAAACCCAAAAAAAAAGCACAAATCAAGATGTACAAAGTAACTATAAAAAAGTGGGCACAAACGCAAATGTACATATGTAGTAAGAACTGACTCCTTCCTTATTTGGGCCATGAATTAACTAAAAGCAGGACAAGAGATGGGCATCCCTGCCTCCATTTTGTATCTTTTTTTGGTACCCATTTTGTTCTTTGCTCCAAGCTGTTCTCTTTGCAATCTCCTTGGAATCCAGGAAGGACAAGATTGACAACATCTTTACAAGGAGGGATGGAGAAAACTGTCCCCCAGGAAGGAAACAGCAGAGCACCCTCCAGGCAACAATGACTTATTTATCCTGAGCAGATTGCTCTGACAGGATGCACAGGATAACAAGTTCTTCTGAACCCCTCCCAAAACAAGGACTGAGACAATGACCAAGCAGACCACACCTGTAACTGGGACTGTTTAGTCATTATGCATACTTTTTGCCTCTTGCCCTAATTCTTCTATTTAAACCTAAAGGCTCATGTCTGTACCCTGAAGATGGCTGAAGATGAGCTAAAGTGCTCATTTGGCCCCTTCCCATGGTGTTGCCAGATGTGTAATAAATCTTTCCGTCCTTCGCCATACTCATCTTTTTATTTGCTGTGACTGGAGAGTTTCCGGATGGAACATGTGAAACCCCTGCAGTTTGGGCCTGGGGCCTAAAACTCTGGTTTTATATACAGTGATATTCACTCCAGTGTTGTTTGTAACAAGAGAATTGGAGCAAAATAAAATGCAACTAAATGCCCAGCTATGGCCATTTCTAATTTCTTTATAATTAGCAGCATATATTATAAAATATCAATATATTCTATCCACATAGCAACATGAGTACTATATACCCATAAACAGAATATGGCAACCCTAATATTTTGATATATAAAGATAAATATGATCAACTTGAAGTTTAAAAAGGGAGAGTAATTTCCAGACCAATATGTATAGAATGGATACACTGGTTAAAAAAACCACAGTCTACATATCAGTAAATATTTCTCTGTCTGTGCACAAGAGAACATATTCCAACTTGGTAACAAGAGCTACCTCTGCACAGGGCAACTAAGGTGTGGAAATCTACACTTCATGCAGTCTGCACTGCTGGAAACTGTACAACAAACTTTCTTTTTTCCTTTTTTTTTTTGGGAGGGGGGAAGTACTGGGGTTTGAACCAGGGCACATGAGCTGTGCTCCTAGCCCATTTTTTCCCTTGAGACAGGGTCTCGCTCTGTAGCCCAGGCTGGCATTCCTCTTGCCTCAGCCTCCCGAGTGCTTGAAGTACAGCCGTGTCCCACCATCTGCAGCTTAAACATATCTTTGTTTCTATAATGAGGGGGAAAGTCCATTTAAAACCTGCCATCTAGCTGGGCACTGGTGCTCATGCTTGTAATCCTAGCTACTCAGGAGGCACAGATCAGGAGGATTGTGGTTCAAAGCCAGACCAGGCAAATGGTCTGCGAGGCCATACCTCAAAAAAACCCTTCACAAAAAAAAGGCTGGTGGAGTGACTCAAGGTGTAAGCCCTGAGTTCAAGCCACAGTACCGCATGCCATCTGCCTGGCATGGTGGCTCATGCTTGCAATCCCTGCACTTGGGAGGCAGAGGCAGGAGGATCATGAATCCAACACCAGCCTAAGCAACAAAGTGAGACTCTGTCTCAAATTTAAAAAAAAGAAAAAAAAAACCAAAACCCTTCCTTCAGAGGTCCTTTCCCTTAAAAATCCTTGGGTCGTTTTCCTTCCTCTCCAAAACAGAGATTGTGCAAAATTTCCACTGCAGAGGTGGCTCTGGGAATTTTCCAGGTGTAATTGCTTTGCTGACTACAATAATCTGCTTTGGCATGAACTGTACCTCAGCTAACAGCTAATGAATCACTCTCTCAAGCTGCTACCTATGTTTACCTTCCTTCAAAATTAGTCCGGTTAAGGTTTTGTTTTGCTTCATATTAAGGAATATACACAATCCTGTCTGTAACTGTCAGTCATTTATGACAGAGCTAAGGCTTGCCAATCCCGTACCTGTTCAGTTCTGCCCGTGGTAGCCTGCTGTACAGCTCCATCATGCTGACTGCTGATGCTGTCTCCCACCCATTCAGAAGGAGCCGTTCTTTCTGAAAGGTGGGTGAAGAGAAAAGGAGAACTACAAGGCCTTGGCATATATATCTGAGACCCTAAAGCACACAGGGATTTCTCTGACATTACTCGTCTTTCAAAAAGTCCATTCTGGTCCCTCTTGTCTTTTTTTCTTCTCACTTTCCAATTTTCTGTATTGAACATGAATTGTTATGATGAGGAAAAATTCACTAAAGTATATTTAAAGAAAAGCAAAGGAAGAAATTTTTCTCCTAGCAACAGTGTTTTAAAGCATCTAGTGGATATCTCAAAAGTAAGCCAGGTATGGTGGTGCATATCTATAATCCCAGCATTCAGAAAGCTGAAGCAGGTGAATCTTGAGTTTGAGGCCAGTCTGGGCTACATAGTGAGATCTTGCCTCAAAGAAAAAACATGTCAAAACTAACCTATTTTAATGGGGGTAAAAGTGGGAGATGTCTCCAGCATATAAATGACATTTTAAAAATGCAGATTCAAAGTGGTACGAGGGAAAGTATGGAGCATGAGTGGAGCCTGATTCAAACATGCCAACTAAACTAATGTTTTAAACAGCTGGGGAAAGCTGACCATGTGCTGGTTTCAGAGGCTGTGAGGGAGTTACCATGGATTTGTGAGGTGTGATAATGGTAACATCATCCTAGGGGAGAAGTCCTCACTAGGAAGAGATTTACACAGAAGTATTTAAGGTGAAATCACGCACTGTCTGGGATCTGTCTGAGAAAAATTATTCTAACAACACCAACAGAAAACAAACACTGGATTGGATGCATGATGCAATATTGACAGAATGTTAATAATTATCAAAACTGGATGCCAGGACTTAAATGTTTACGTACAATTCCTTTCACCTTTATGTTTGCTTGAAATTTCGCATAGTAAAAGGAAACTCTGCATAAAAATAAAATTTGCAAAATAAAATGGGGTATAAGAAATATAAATGTGTGTTTTCCATAAAAGGGAGGGTGTGGCAGGACTTGGGTTTGAGACCCTAGCTGTCAGTGTCCACAGGGCTCTGCCACCTATCAAGGAAAATGCCCTTTCTAGTCTGGCTAAGGGCACAAGTGAATGCCTTGATCTCTGCTCTCTGACCTGTGACTCTAATGACTTGCAGGTTTCCACTCCTGCCAGGTCACACTGTCGTCTCCGGAGGTTTTCAATCATGATCTGCCCAAACCGATCATCCATGTTTACCTGGAAAGGGAAGAAGGTCAGGCATTACCATAAAGGTTTCTCTATTTTTAACCAGTCAAGGCTGATAACTGCTAATACAGGTGAAAGAGGAGTGGCACTAGTGCACAGTGTTACTACAGTGTGAACCCACATAGTCCCTTGAAAGGCACCTGTGACAGCAACTCCACTGAGAGCAGTTCAGCCTGAAGACACACTCCTACATGTGCAAAGATGCAATAATCTACGTGTTGTGCAGAATCTGGAAATAAATACCTGGGGTTAAATAAATTCTATCATCTTGATATAAGGGAACACTATATAACCATGAAAACAGGAAAGGAAGACAGATATAAAGACCTTAAGATGACTTTAAGGTAAAGTCTTCAGAAGCAAGGTATTGAGGAATATGGACAGAATGCTCCCATCCACCTTCAAGGAAAAACAACAACAAAAACCTCTTCCTTTATGTACATACGTACAAAGACACTGGAATACAGCAGCACTGCTTCCCTGATCAGAGGACTGAGGTCTAGGGCAGGAGGTTTTCTTTTCTTTGTTTAACCTTTTATATTGTTTGGGTTTCTTTATTATTATTATTATGTTGCATGTGGTATTAGTGTTTGGATAAAAAATTAGTTCAAAGAGCTAAAATTTAATCTGTATCCCTACATAAAAGCCAGAAAACGGATTACTATACACTTTCATAGCACATAAACTATTACCTTGTCATAAACAAGGTAAACAAAAAGACATCATTTTAACCATATGAAAAATGATTACCAGAGTTTTTATGACAATGATGCTGACAAGAAGCATTATTACCCTCTTTGGGGGAAGAATACCGCTTCTGTGGCACTGAGGACCAGCCTGTATGCTCACTCAGGACAAGGTGTCTAAGAGCACACTCTCCACCATTTCACTGCCTGGCCTGATAAAAAGCTGCTTTGCTCTCTATGCCTCAGTCAGGATAGTGCCAGTGCCTACTTGTGAATTGTTGCAATCATAAAATAAGTTAATACGTACAAAACTCACAGAAGAAGGCCTGGCACAGAATTCATAACATCTAAACATTTGCTATTACTACTTTATTAACATACTGAAATGAGCATGACTTTCTCATTTTAAATTATTAACTGGTAAATAAAGTGAGGCATATAAGCAAGTCACATAGGTTGTGAGTTGCTGACAAATTTGTTCTTGTAAGAAAACTCATTTTAAGTTAAATTACTATTGATGAGGTGAAGTGGTCAGGTGGGAGTTGAGGGGCAGCTGTGGACAGCACACTGAAAACTGCCACACTCCCAGGCAAGCTCAAAAGGGGAAGAAAGGCCCCTGGTCAGAATTCGCCTAACCCACCACTCTCACCAGAAGCTGGACAAATGCTTGTTTGACAAAGCACAGAGGAAGCAAAGGGAACAAAGCAGCACACACTGGATATGTGCATAGGCTGAAATTCATTTTCCCCAGGAGTATATCCTGAAAGCACAGATAGGGACCCAGAACTCATTCACATCAAAAGAAAAGCTAGGGATTGGAGGCATGGTTCAAAGCACCTGTTTTACAAGCACAGAGCCTGAGTTCAAACCCCAGAGACAGACAAACAGACAGACAGACAGACAGACACACACACACACACACACACACACACACACAAAAGCTAGGGGAGGCCAGCTTCCATGGTATCCATTCCCTGCAAGGCAAGACAGTCTGAGGAACACTCCCTGCTCCCCATAAAGAGAGGAAAGCAAGAAAAGTCAACCAGCCAAGAACTAACTATTCAGTAATCTAGACCTGAACTGGAGCTGGGAAGGAGGCAGAGAGACCAATATTTAGTGTTGGATCTGTTTGTAATTACATGACATGAGAAAAGTCTCTTTACTGTTCTTATATGAAATGAAATAAAAAGAAAATGAGATTTAAAAAAATAAAACCAACAAAACTAAAATAAATAACAAAAATAGTAAGCATACATTCAGTGTTTATGAGAGGGTCATTCAAGACAAAGAACGCACTCAGATCTACCTTGTAACTATGCTTGCTGAACAACCAGGCAATGTTGTAGGCGCTTTTCATATATCAACTCATTTACTCCTCACAACAACCCCAAGAAGTAAGGAAACAGGCACAGAGAGGGTGCTTAACTTCAAGTCACACAGCTGGTTAGTCTACTTCCACAGCACAGCTTCCATTACAAAGCAAGGTTGCCCAAAGTCACACAGTGAAAATGGAGAGCTAGGGCCAGAACCCAGACCCAAGCTGGACCACTCCAAAGCTCTAAATCAACCTTTTCCTGCAACCAGTGGACCAATGTCTGTGATTTTAGAAATTAGGGAATTTTACATTAAAATCCTATATTTCTAACTTCTCTTCAAAAACTAGGAGTTCTTGCAACTCATGGTAACATAAGCAGGGCCTGAGTAGTGGCCACTCCCAGAAAGTGGGCATGGGTGCTCCAGGTCACCACAGTCTCACCATTTGCACCTGGCCAGCTTCCTTCATTTGCATCACCTGGCTGCTTTGAGGGTATCCCAGCTACCACCCCTCCACTGATGCCAGCCCCAATCCCCTTCACTATGTTCTAAGACTCTGCAGTAAATATGATAAAATAAGAACTCAAAACACCTATACAGACTAAAAGTCAAGTTCCAAAAACTCTGGCTAAAAGCTTGCAGGAGGTCAAGAGAAGGTAGAGGAACAGGACTGCTGGAATGGATTAATTAAGCAGAAATGTGAATGGCTGGAGGCAGAAAACAAAGAAGGGAAGAATTTACTGCAGGCACTAAGAGGGAAAGCCACAGCTGGTCCTCATGCAGACTCTACCTCTTACCTGTTCATAGTTTATGAACATGGCCGTCTCAAAAGTGCTGGCTGCCCACCTTATGAGGTTTGCTGACTGCTCTGGAGTCATGTAAACTAGCACACATTCAGTTATCAGCAGTGTTGGCAATCTTAAGAGGAAAAAAACAGACAGGCACATAAATGTGTTTTCACCCAGTTAAGACCCTTGACGTATCTACAATGTAGTTTCGGAAAACCAGAAAGACAGAGCAAGCACAGAATTGATCAATATCTCATACAAGTGCAAGGTCACCACGGCCCAAAGTTCAATACTGTAATCAGGTGAGCAATGAGCAGGGTGTGCCTGCTTATGGTCATAAGATGAACGCATGAGGTGGAAAGGCTGTGATCCTTCTGGTCCTATATCTGCTGCCCCAGAGCATGCAGCACTACAGATGCCCATCCCAGAGCTGGTGCTATGTGCCTTCCTCTGGACTCTTGTTCACTTGGGTACTTGCTCTGGCCATTGGGACAGCAGCAAACATGAGGCAAGCAGAAGTCTGGAAATCACTTGCACACTGGCCTCTGCTCTCTTGCTACACTTGCAAACCTGAAACACCAAGTAAATGAGCCTGGTACAGGAAGAGAATGAGACATCCCAGCTTACAGCCCCAGGGGGCCTGTTCTCTTTCCGCATATAAGAACAGCCCTACACACATCAGTTATTCCTGGCCCCTTGCAAAAGAACCACCCAGCTAAGCCCAGCCCAAACTGCCAACTCCCAGAAGTGTAAGCAACTACATATCACAAGCTGACTGACTGATACAATGAATAATGGTATTTAACAGAATCTAATTCTTTCTATGTAAGTTTTTACCATTAAGAGCCGAAAACAAAGGCCAGGCACAGTGGTCCACACCTGTAATCCCAGCTATTTAGGAGGCAGAAATCAAGAGGATTGTGGTTCGTGGCCAGCCTAGACAAAAAGTTAGCAAGACCCATGCCAACAAATTAGCCAGGCATGGTGGTACACATCTGTAATTCCAGCTACATGGGAGGCACAGATACAAGGATTACAGTCCCAAGTCAGCCTTGGCAAAAAGTGAGACCCTATCTAAAAAATAGCTAAGGCCAAAAAGGCTGGAGGCATGGCTCAAGTGGCAGAGTCATTGCCTACCAAGTGTAAGGCCCTGAGTTCAAACTCCAGTATAGTCTTCAAGAAATTATGTTACTACTAGGCACAAAGTAATCAACAAATTATGAAATGGGAAAGGCGACGCACACGTAAAGCATCTAAATTCTTTTCCCTTGATGTTTGAAAAGGGAGCACTACTACCCACAAGTCATGTAGGCCAATTGCAGGCAAGCCATGGGCACTGCGCTTCTCAGGCTGGCCTGGACTATGCTTTCTTTACTGCAAACTCCAGTGGGGACCACTTATTAAGCAAGAGCAGGTTCATGCTGACAGGACCAGGGAAGCCTGGAGACACTCTCCTTGTAACTAAATTTCTATCCCACTGGTCTCCCCTAGTTCATTTACACTCCTTGTCAGTACCCTTTGTTAGGTCCTCATCCCTCCCATGCCCCCTAAAGACTGATGTTTCTCATGGCTGCCTTATTTTTGTCTGTTTGATTTTAGACTTTAGAAGAAATAAACTACATGAAATCAAATGCTAACCAAGAAGAAACTGGCTGAACATGGTCCATTAAATGGACTGCTACCTAGTGGGTTAGGATGATGTTTCAGAATTGTATTTAATGACACAATGAATCTATAGTCCAGATTCTAGTGGCCTATTATATGCTTCCCTACACTTCTTCCAATCATGCATCACAAGAATAAACAGTAAAATGTAATTAGCTGTTTAATCTCCTCATGCAATAATATGTAAACTGTTTTGTTCATGACTCTGTAGTGCCTTTACTTCACAGATTCTCAATTATTTGCTGAGTGAATAAATAAATGAATAATCAAATAAGTGACAATGGAGAGAGAGAAAAATAGACTCCAAGAAGTTCTAAGCTGGGCATGGTAGCTCATGCCTGTAACACCAGTACTTGTGAGGCTGAGGCAGGAGGATTAAAAGGTTGAAGCCAGCCTGGGCTACATAGCCAGACCCTGTCTCAAAAAAAAAAACAAAATAAAAACACATACAGACACACAAAAAGCCACTATATGGTAGAGTTTTTTTTTTTTAATCCCAGTTCATAATAAAGCATCCAAAGCTCAACAATGTTTAAGTAAAATAACAACACAAAAAAATTGTCCAGGCACCAGTGGCTCACACCTATAATTCTACCTACTCAGGAGGCAGCGATCAGGAGGATTGAAATTCGAAGCCAGCCCAGGCAAATAGTTCCGTGAGACCCTATCTCGAAAAACCCTTCACAAAAATAGGGCTGGTGAAGTGGCTCAAGGTGAAGGCCCTGAGTTCAAGCCCTAGTACCACAAAATAAATAAATAAATAAAAATTGGCCCCTGTTCAGTAAGTAGGATAAGAGTCCTGACACAGAGAGTGCCATGGTAATCTGTGAATATCGGCTTTAACCCATCCACTAGTGATTCATCTACTAACATCTATGGAAAAGCATGTGCCTGAGGAAATCAGTGTCCTTGATCAAGACTGCCACTTGGCTAAAAGAAGACTCTGCCGGACACTACAATCTGTGAACTCTACATTGTGATCCCCAAGGGAACATGGAGGCATGAGTGCCCAGTTTATAGTTTACTGACTTTCCACACTGTAACAAATACCTGAGAGCCAACTTACAAAGGGGGAAGGTTTCTTATGACACATGGTGCATTTTAGAGTTTTTGACCCACGATCAACTTTTGGCCAGCGAGCACATGAATGGCAGAGCAGAATTCACCTCATGGCCAGAAACAAAAGAGAGAGGAAGGAGCTGGAGTCCCAATATCCCCCTCAAGGGCATACTCCCAATGACCAGAAGACCTCCCACTGGTCTCTACCACCTCCCAACAGCACATCCAGCTGGGCACCAAACCTTTAACACATGGATCATTAGTGAAGATTTAACCAAAACATAGATTGACCTTGCTCTCTCTGAACACTCACCAAGACAAAGACTCTGAAAATAAAGCTAGAGTGGCAGTGCTGGGTCAATTAGAGTCACCTCCAACATCAGACAGTTGGGCCTGTAAGACCTAACAAGGACAGCCCGGCTGATGATCCCAGGCTAAACAGGTAGAGTGCTTCAAGTGTAGGGACAACAGCAATTATGACATTAATGAAAGAAGAGTTAGGACAATTATCCAGCCATAACTCCTGGCTTTCCACCATCCATTTCCCAAAGCTTTAGGTATATTAACATCTGTCCTCACTCTTCTTCCTCCCTGCTCAGAAAAATGGGGGTCTTCCCTCCCCCACAGCTGAGTAACCTGAGCCTATGTTCTGCATCCTCCCATCTCACCTCCAGGACTTTGTCTTACTAATGATTTCTCCAGGTGCTAGTTTCTTTAATCTTTTGCCACTGATTCTTTGCCTTCACCTTATTCTTTAAAATAGTATTTCCTCCCCCATACCTTACCCTCAAATGTCCACCTTGTGTACTAACCTCAAATATTCACGGAATGTCATCTTCACCTTGCACCACATCTTAACTCCAACCTTTGGCCAGTATCATCATGCTAAAACCACACAACTCACAATTCACTTCCCTCTTCTTCCTCCCAGAAGAGCCCACTCTCAAGAATTTGAAAACCCCTCTGGACATTTAAAAACACCTCTGCAATGTAAGCATGTAATCATGAAAATAAAGTACTGGGTTTTAATTTTACATACTTGGTACCACACTGTGCATAATTATTCTGCAATTTGATTCTTTTTTTTAACTCAACATTAGGTTTCGAGCTCTCTCTAAGGCACACATTTTACATTTTTCATCCAGTCTCCTGCAGATGGATGGACATTTCCAATTTTCTGTTATTTTAGTAGCTGCAATGAACATCCTTCTTATGCATACATGCAAAACCCTCTCTGGTGAACACATGCAAGAGTGCACCTGCTGTATCATATGGTACACACATTTACAGCTCTGCCAGATACTTTGTTTGTTCCTCACCAGTCCCTACCCAGCTCACTTCCTCTTGGTACAATCACAGGCGTCTTCCCATTCCCTACACCTCATATTCTTGCCAACACTAGATATTGTCAGACTTGTACATGTTTGCCACCTTGGTGAGGAAAACAGAATTTCATCTGATTACTACTGAGGTTCAATAGCCTTATATGATTTTCATATATCATATATTCTATCATATAATACTCAGTTTCTTCTTGGAGTTGCCTAGCCATCTATGTTTAGCCCATTTACCTATGGATACTTTTTATAGGAGTTGTTCTCCATATATTCTAAGATGCTGATCCTTTCTTTATGCATTGGAATTATGTTTCTATTAATATGATTATCTTCTCTCAAACTTTATGTTCTCACACACCAGTAATTTAGAAAGCAATGCAGCTGTTTCTGAAGTGGAAGCTGACTTGAGAAGCACTTTTTATAAATTTCAGAAAACCACTTTAAGTAGCAATGCCACACTAAAACTTATAGAATAAATATGGGAGATGGCCATGTCTCACAGCTAGCATGAAATCACAGAGACATAAGAGGTTAAAAAAAATCTCACTGTGTATTCATGTTACATTTCTTTAGCTTCTCTTCCAGTTCAGATAGGTCTCGGAGATCTGCTCCAATGATGGCGTATCTCTTTGAATCCAGTATGTGCCCATCTGCAAATGCAAAAGAGATTATCACTTCAACAGAAATCAATAAAAAGATCATAATTATAATGGATATGGCTTTTAATATTAAAGTAATTTCACTATCTTATAAAAACATTTTAAAAATACATGCCATTAGGGCAAATCAAGTAAAAGGAGACTAAAAAATAACCCAAATGACATCTTCCAAAGATAAGCCTAAGAGTTTTAGTGTGCAACATTCCAGTCTTTTTTCCACTGTGCTTACATTCATATACACAAGAAAACACCTTCTTTCTTTCTCTTTGTGCATGGACGCGCGCGCGCACACACACACACACACACATATCCTGAACAGAGAACAGAAAGTGGGTATACAACACACACCATGAACCAAGAACAGAAATGGGGCCACTTAATAACCGTTCTGAAAACTGCTTTTCCTACTTAACCATAGCATCGGACATCATTCTCTTTTTATTATTTTGTTTGTTTTCTGAGATGCAGTCCATGTTTCTCAGATTGGTCTTGCACTAGTGTACTCAGGTGATCCTCCTGTCTCAGTCTCCTGAGCAGCTGAGACTACAGACAAGTGCTACCTTGCCCATGTAATGACTTCAAAGCAGACCACTGAATGGAAAAGACAAAACTTATTTAGCCAGTCTCTCCGTATTGGACATGTGGTACTTCCAAGTTTCTCCATCTGGGGTGAGCCCAATACAGACACAAATGAAGTACCTGTGCACTTATTTCTCTAAAGCAGATTACTATGAGTAGAATTAAGAGATCAGGGGGTAAGCCAATTTAAAAACTGATACCCACTGGCAGGTGGGTCTCTAAATGCTTCACCAATTTGTAATGTGATATTTAAAAGAAAATGGTTTAAGCACTAACAAATAGTGCTTTACAATATCCCAGCAGTGGTGGAATAGAATAGAGTATGCAGTGGTTCTCGAGCCTCAGCAGTCACTTTTTTTTTTTTTTATTTTGGTGGGACTGGGGTTTGAACTCATGGTTTCATGCTTATAAAGCAGGTACTCTACCACTTGAGCCACACCTCAAGTCCATTTTGCTACAGTTATTTTGGAGATGTGATCTCTTGAAGTATTTGCCCCTGCTGGGCCTTGAACCATGATCCTCCCCCGTCTCAGACTCCCAAGAAGCCAGGATTACAGATGTGAACCACTGCACTAAGCCACCACAGTCACCTTGATAACCTGCTACAGGCAGATCTGGAGGCTCCACCAAAGTGTCTTTCCCTAGTGGACATTTGCATTCTTGACACGAGTGGTGCTAATACTGTCAGTCTGGAGATTATACTTTTAGAACCACTAGTACAGATGAAATGACACCGACAATAAAGTTAGGTGGCAGTTCCATGGAGGTTCATCAAGCCTCACAATGTATTTGTGAATACTTGAATTTTTCTCTATTATTTTAAATTATTTTTAAAAGAAAATAAATGGTTTGACTGTTTACCACAGGCATCATTCACTCAGCTTCCTCAATGGCACAGACCATCAATGGCCTTCTTGTATCACTGCTAATAATTCAGGTTCTCTTGGCTTTGAGAAACCTGAACAAAAAAAAAATGCTGAAAACAGCAAACTGTAACATGTAAGTAGGTTATCCTTTCTTTTCTTTTTTTTTCTGTGAAAATAGGTAAGTATTCATTTATTTCAAACAAATTTTACAAAAACATTTCAGCTAAACATGCAATTTTGAAAACTGGCAGCCTGTTAGTAAGCAAAAAAACGTGATAAGGAAGCAAGATTATCAGTTAACAAGTAATATTTATACCAACCTCTTTCATTACACCACTGGCTATCTTGAGAAATGTAACAGAAACTCTAAGGACTTTAGACATAGCTCTGGGCTTATGGTTTGATTTGCCTATCATGTTTTATTGATATTCAACTATAAAAGAACAAGCCCAAAGGGTAATTTTTTTATGATATTGAGCCAAATGCATATCCAAAGAAAATTCCTCTCTTTACATGTAGTTTGTGGATTCCCTTTTCTTGACTGTATGCTAGTATTTTCTCTTTGTTGTTATTTTAGAAGCTTTGACTTGAAAGCTTCAAATCAAACTCTCAAGACCAAATTATCTTCAATTTTTTCTACAACCAAGATAATCCAACTAAATTTTTTCAACATTGCATCTTTAGCCCCCTTTCTGAAAGATGACAAGATTTAATTTAAATGTGATTAATGCTAGATTTGTTTAATATGCAAAAGTCTGCTTTTTAAAGCAAACAAAAGGAATAAAAATATGGCATCATTCCAATAGTCAAATGTTCAGAAAAATGGCATCATTAAAAAGATCTAAGCAAATTTCAAAGCTCGATTAGTAATTAGAACATCATGAAATGTTCTGATTTTAGCAAGAACAGAAGATTAATAACAGGTAAAAAGAAACAACACGCTGCATTATATTGAATATTAAGCTAAGTAAGTAACCATAATTTTACAAATTCTCCAATTTGATAACTAGGTATTTTTGAATAACTAGATTTTAGCTTTATTTTAAACATTAAATGTCTATTTAACAAAGCCATTTGAATAAACACATCTATGCAGATTTATATCCTAGAATATCAGAGTAAACATGAGACATTATTCAAAGTTGAATGAGAAAGTTCTATTCTTTTTTGTCATCTGTGTGATCAGGTTGCAAAGGATATGCTTTTCTCTTTGCTTTTCCTAAGCCACTGCTTCCTGCCTCTTCAGGAATCTGGTTCTCTTTTTCAGAATCTTTAGAAGACAGTTTGAAGAATTCTCCAATTCCTTTTTGCCACTTGGGAGTTAGGCAAACATAAACTGGATTCTTATTTTCAGCTTTCCTTGATGAAAGCAATGCAGAATTAATGGCAGAGGTGGAAGAACCAAGCACCTCCCTGGGGGCTCAAGAAGCCACCACTTTTCTGTAGGTGGCCAAGACACTGTCTGCTTTAGTCTATACCATGTTCAAATGCAAGGGGACAGAGAAACATACTGACTTCCCAGCAAGAAGGTGTTTCACTGGACAAGGACCCTTCCTTTATTTTCTTCATAAGCCCATTTGGCTGATTCAAATACATTTAGTCATGTACCATAAACTAAAAGAAATACCTCCTAGGTACCCCTGAGATATCAGGAAAGCAGTAACAGGGAAAACAGAGGAGCTCAAAGTCTGCCCCAGGGTGCTACAGGCCCAAGTCAGACAAATAATACAAAGAATATGAAGGCACTTGTCTGTCCAATTATTAAAACAAAGAATTCCCAGAGGCCTGTACCTTCTTGGAAATAACAAATATATTAATAAGCATGTCTTGAATGAGTTTCTCCATCCCTGATCAAGAAAAGCAAATAAGACACAGACACACACCAGAATTCTGTGGCATGCAGTCCTTTAGTATAGTGAAGCAGTGGTGAGCAACTAGTTGGGTACGCGCGTCTTCCCCAGATTAGGATCTAAAGTTAGCACGTAAAGCAATGATGGCACATCATCACCATCACTCCTAGAATTGAGCATGAGGTACAGCAGATTTGAATTAGGCTTAGCCCCATCCCCGGGCCACAGGGCATACCACACAGGAAGCAGAAGCACTGTAGAGATGACCTTGAGGCCCCTCAAGTGAGGACTGCAATAACACATTGCACCATCACAATTCAGATGCTCCTCTGAAGTCAGAGCTACTCACGCTGTTTGGAAAAAGGAAGCCATTATCTGCCCTCAGAGAATGCCTTACCATAATTTTGCAGGGAACAAAACACTTGTGGAGGACACAAGCTCAGAGCCAGTTCCAAAGAAGTTTTATGATTCTGAGAAAATATGATATTTTTGTGGAGTCTAGCATCAGCCAGAGGCCATGGAAACAGCTGAATAACCCTGTACACCCGCACACTTCTAGAGTGGGTGAGAAAATCACTCGCTCACTCACATGAGACCCACAATCCCTTCTTTCTCTTCTAGACCTCTACCTCGGAAGAGATAAATGGAAGAGGGTTGGAAGTGTTTCATGTGATACTTACAAAAGAACTTCCTAAAGGAATTGGCATGCTCACCCAATGCTGGAAAGCCAATGAACATAGATTCCAAACCTGTGTACTGCTATGAGTAACTTTCTGTGATGAACATACCTTAAAGGACTTATATCTAAGAAGATTTAAGGGGGAAGAGAAGGTCTGAAAATATAATACCATAATAAGGTTTAAAAATTAAGAACCAACTTACATATGGCCAGAATGAAAAGACAGTTATGAAAATCCTAATTATACAGGCTTGCTCATTCTTCAGTTAAAGCAGTGGTTCTCATTCAGGGCCATTTTTGTTGTTGTTGTCACAACTGAGTGGTATGCTACTGGCCTCTAGTGGCAGAGCACAGGGATGCTGCTAAGCATCCTTCCACATATTAATAGATATCAATAGGCCAACACTAAGAAACCATACATTAGAGTGAGACCGTTAGTCAGTAATAGACTGTTAAAAATTCTTGGATAGTCTGTAGTCCCAGCTGCTCAGGAGGCTGAGGCAAGAGGTTCCCTTGAGCCCAGGAGTTTGAGGCCAGTTTGAGCAACACAGCAAGACCCTGTCTCAAAAACCAAACCAAACAAAAAAAACCTTAAAGCATCCTAATTATTCTCTGATGGAGGAAATGTAACATGCTGTGTCTTTTATCCAGATCATAGTCTATAAGACAAGGGCTGGCAGAATGACTCAAGTGAAAAACCACTTACCTAGCAAGTGTGACCTGAATTCAAACCCCAATACCACCAAAAAAAGAAAGACAAAAATAATCTACAAGTCTGACAATGCCAACCTTACATGATCCTGTTTAAGATTCATGACAATGTTGAAATAAACAGCTTCAGGGTTTCCAGACTGAGTATTGAGATGCCTTATGTGGTATAGCAAATTCACAGGGGCACTGCAAGACATTTTCCATTTTTGTAAGAAACACAGATATTCAACATCAGTCAGACATAAGCAAACTATTAGATCAAATAGTCACAGTTTCAACATTACATTCTCCGCATTCCTTCTAATGCCACCATTCTCTACGAAGCTAAGTTTTCAGATGCTACTGTGAATAAGAAGCAAGTACTGTGAAAATATCAATGTGGAACACTGGACAGTGTCCAACCTGATTCCAAGGTCAAGTTGTGAAGTGCTTGTCAGAGGCACACAACTCATTAGTTAATTGTGGTTAGTTAACAAATTTAAAAAGTGTTCTTCCAACTCACATCTATTATTTTTTCAAATGACTAGTAAAGTCTTAAGATCTGCGAACCTAACTAAATTAACAAAACCCTAGAGGATGTTTTTTGGCCAAGGGCGATGTGAAGAAATGACAGACACTCAGAACACTGTGAGCCCCGACAAATAGGGATGCACTGGCCCAACTCAATGCCTGGTACACAGTGGAAGTCTTTAGCAAAGGCAAGATCACAAATGATTAAATCCAGGCAGGTGCCTGAATGAACCCAGCTAAGTTCCATCCAAAAAATGCAATTCAAGCTGCCCTCACAGATTTGTGAGCTGAATAAATGGCTGTTTTAGGCCACATGTTTTTCAGTGATTTGTTACAGAACAAAGCTAACATCTGATATAGGCTTTAATTAGCTGTAACAGGGAGAGGCATAAAAAAATTGATGAACTGTGCAATGTAATACACACACATGCAAATAAGTGACTCTGGTGCTAGTGTATAAACAACTAACAATTGATCTCTTCTATCACTACCAGGTATTTCAAGAAAGAGTGTTGATTAGGACTGAATTCCATCATCCCATTCATTATATCTTCAATGACGATTATTCTTAGGGAATACAAAGTATTCTTTTTGGCCCACAGATTTTTTTTCCAGGACATTTAGTTTAAAAAAAAGTGAGACAGCCTCAGGTAGATTTCTGGACCATACAGAAGATTAACTTGTTCATCTGTCCACCCAACTGATACTTACTAAGCTCTCACTATACATGGGGTACTGACCCAATGCTAGGAATGTAAAATAAGGAGACAAGGTCCCTAAGCTGGGTGTGGTGGTACATGCCTATAATCTTAGCACTTGGAAAGCTGATGTTGGAGGTTCAGGAGATCCTGTCTCAAAAAAAGAAGAAAGAAAAAGAACAGGTGTGGTTCCTACCCTCATGGAGCTCCTCAGAGAAGATGAAGAGTGAACAGGCACAAGCATGATAACGCTACAAAGAGAATGCTAAAAGGCAGTGGGGAGAGGAGGTCATCTTTAGTCTGAGAAGGTAGTAGTTGAGCTGAGGACCAGGCAATAGGAAACTGGGGAGAAGAGATCCAGGCTGGGGAAGGACAAAGTAGATAGGCCTGAACGAGAGAGCACAGTGGCACATGCAGAGACCATAGGCACTATGGAAAGAGCTATACTCAGGAGGCACACAGAGGCCTGTTGGAACGTGGATCTCATCCAGTATAAGGTTTTAAGCAGGGAGGTAATAGAACCTGATTTTCTTTTTTAAAAAAGTCATTCTAACTAACTTTCCAAAACTTGCCCATTTGTATGCATGCATTTCTTATACATACATAACTTTTATGAATTCATAATGAACCCAAAGGTTAATGATGCACCACCTGTTGCCACTTTTTATTAACAAATTTACCATGACAGCATCATAGGTCTGATGAAATAAGGTAAGGTTTTATTCTTTTTCACACATGCTAAGCAAGCTATACCCCTGCCCAGAAATAGGGTAACTTTTAAATTAAGTTTCATTAGTTTTATTACCATCTATCACTTTCTTTGAATTTCCATTCACATTTCTATTCAAATTTCCTTTTGTCAGGATGATGGCAACATAAAAAAAATAATATAAAACATTGTACTAAAAACTGCCTCATGAACCACAAACACAAAAGTTAAAAAGTTAAACACTAAAAAAGAAAATCTGCAGTGAAAAAAGTTCACAAGGGATCTTTACCAAGAACACATCTATGTATTAAAAAGAGTGCTATAAGGGCTGAGAATGTGGCTCAGTAGTAGAGAGCTAGCACTTGCAGGCCCTGGGTTCCATCCCCAGCACCACAAAAAAAAGGAAGCAATGAAAGTGAAAAAGAAGGACATAGATCTGTCATATGATCCAGCAATCCCACTCCTAGGGATATACCCAAAGGAATGTGACTCAGGTTATTCCAAAGGCATCTGTACACCCATGTTTATTGCAGCACTATTCACAATAGCCAAGTTATGAAAACAGCCAAGATGCCCCACCACTGATGAATGGATTAAGAAAATGTGGTATTTATACATAATGAAACTTTACTCAACCATGAAGAAGAATGAAATCTTGTCATTCACAAGTAAATGGATGGAACTGAAGAACATCATCTTAAGCGAAGTTAGCCAAAAATCATATGTTCTCCCTCATGCAGACTTTAGACCTAAAACAAATGCAGTAATATTATTGTACATGGGTTACATGCTAAGGGGAGAACACATACAGGAGGAATAAGGAAAGGTAGGAAACTCAAAACTTGAAAGTGTTTGATGTACCCACTGTAGAGGAGCTAATATAGTAATCTCAAACTGACAGAGGTCACTATGGTAAGGTGACTGGGAAGTAGTGAAGAGGCCTGGCAGAGATGAACCAATTCGGGTTGTAATATACATATGCATGGAAGCAATACTAGGAATCTCTCAGTATAGCTATCCTATCTCAAACTAGCAGAAATGCTATGTCTTTCTTATTACTGCTTATGTCTTCTCTTCAATAAAATTGTAGAAGTGGGCAGAACAGGTTCTGCCTAGAAGCGAGGGGGTGTGGGAGGGAGAGGAAGGGGGCAGGGGCAGAGGGGAGAGATGGCCCAAACAATGTATGTACATATGAATAAGTGAATAAACCAAAATAAATAAATAAATTAAAAAGATGGACAAAGTAAATGAAATGAAAATTTCTAACAATGTCCCAGAGATCAATCAAGCTGAGGAAAGAAAATCCATTTCACTTGCATCCAAAGTTGTATACACTGTTTAAATAACAGGGCAACCCTTCAGCCTATCAGATCAGAAGAAACTTTTTAAATGATCATGCCCAATGTGGGTATAGGGAAAGAGAATTCTCATCAGTGCTACCAAAAATATAAACTAATAAAAAGGAATTTGAAAAGCAGTTTGTTCATAGCTACTAGAATTCATAATGTACGATTCTCTGAACTAGCAACTCCTGAAAATATGCAATACACATATATTTGCTACAATATTGCTTTATATAAAAGCATAAAAAAGCAGCAATCTACATGACTGTTGGCAGGAAACAGATTAAACAAAATGAAATCTCCATGCAAAGGAGCACCATGAAGCCACTGACAACAATAAGATGGGTCTGTACACTCTGAAAGGAAAAGACGGCTGTGATTTGTTAGGACATGAAAAGAGTAAGCTGCACAACACTGTATATAAATTATTCACTGTTTATTAAATTTCATATGACTCTACATTTATATATGGAAGTAGAAACTCATCCAACATATATTGAACTACATCATATACATACTCAACACATATGTTCATTCACTCAACAAAGACTTATGGAACCTCCCATGTGCCAGGCACTGGGGTATGCTGATTTATGCATCTATTTACCTCCCTCTGTGTATACTGCACATCTGTGTTTAGAGAACACTTTGAATACTGGTTATCTTAGGGGTGGAATTATGGTGGGTCTTTACTTTCTACTTCATATATTTCCACATCGTTTGATCAAAGATAATGCAAAGGCCTAGATTCTTCATTAGAGATCATGATGTTGACACAAATGTTAACCAAGTGAATAGAAAAACTATAACAGCAAAAGTGAAGAGAAAATGGGGTAAGTAGAAACCCAAAACATGAAAGTGTTTGATGTCCCCATGGCAGAGGAACTAATACAGAAACCTTAAAGCAACAGAAGTCAATATGGGAAGGGGATCAGGAACTAGTGAAAAGGTCAGGTAGAGATGAATCAACTTAGGTTGTAACACATCTGTGCATGGAAGCAATGCTAGGAATCTCTCTGTATAGCTATCCTTATCTCAACTAGAAAAAACGCTTTGTCTTTGTCTTTCTTATAAAAAAAAAAAGTGAAGAGAAAGCAAGGAGAAAAGGCAAAACTTGAATAGGTACTACTTGTATGAGGAAATAAAGGCTAGGGGAGATACTTTCTGTGAAAACTTTATTGGGACTCCAATCACAAAAAGGATGACTATAGCATTATGGTTGTGCATAAAAGAAGGCTTATCCACTGTGTGATGTTTGCTGTGTCATGTTGACCATCTGAGAAGGCTGCTCTCTCTGAGCATATTTCTAAACTAAAAGATTATTAAATTCCTTGAAATTTTGTGTTAGATACAAACCGAACACAATGGAAGACCCTGATAGAGATTGTTTTTAAAACCACAATTTGACTGCTCAGAAATGAGAAAAGTGCTGTAGAAACATTTATAACTAAGTGTTGGGGGCTGGGGATGCAGCTCAGTGATAGAGTGGTTTTTTGCCTAGCACATGTGAGGCCCGGTTCAATACCCAGCATTGTGAAAAGAAAAAAAATTGTGTGTTTGGGGGCAGGGGGCAGAGTGTGTAGAGATACTGACTACAGGAGCTCAGCAGATAATATAAATGAAGAGATGAATATAGCAGGTCAAGTTGTGAGACAAAAGAGAGGGCTTGGGAATAGAAGGGCAGCAGGTAGGACTACTAAACATGTCAGAGTCTAATGCTGCTACCACTTGATTTTTTCAAGGAAAGATAAAAATTGATTTTTTCCAAGGAAAGCTGAAAAACTATTTTGGAAATATTAGAAGTTAATTTAAGCTGATTAATAAAAGATTTAAGATTAGAGACCTAAGGACATCTTAAGTCTCACACAAAAGCTTGCTTGAAATTCCTTAACGGTAACCACAATATAAGTGTAAATATCTCAACAGAAGTATTTGACATATAACACAGCACACACCATCTTTTAAAAGAAAAAAAAAAAAAAACCGTAATCAACACTGTGATACTTGCCCATCTGCAGAGTGTCCTCCGAGTGCAGTTCTACAATGGGCTTGGACAGGAGAGGCTTGTTTCTGTGGAAAGATGAGAAAGAAGAAAGCTGAGTGAGTTTATCATCAGTTTACTCATGAGCTCAGGGACCTCCAAGATGCAGACAGTCCCTACAAAAATAGCAAGTAAAGGTTGAGTAAGTAGTCTTTATACACAATGCTTGGGACCAGAAGTTTTACAGATTCCAAACTTTTTTCAAACTTTTAGAATATCTGCATAGACTTTATTAGTTTAGCAATCTGACAGGATGCTCAAAAAGTTTCACAGACTACAGCACTTACGATTTTATGTTTTTTGGATTTAGGGAAATTCTAACTGCATATATTGCTACTGTTCAAAATAAAGGGCCACTCCCAAAGGTGCTTTGACCCTACATACACACAATAAAAATTCAGCAGAGACAGGTTTCAAGTTGGGTCAGCTATGCTTTATACTCAGCATCTGATGTCCAAATCACACACTGATCATGAAATCATTCCACTTAGAAATAGGTGAAGAATTTTCCAAACGTGCCAGTGTTTTCAGGTTGTCTCAAGTTTCTTGCTTATTCTCAAACCAAAATTTTAAGCTAGCTGTACTTTGCCATAGATAACCATAAGAATAAACTCTTAAACCAAAAGTTTAATAACATTTACATAATTCCCTTAATCTAGCAAATGCAAAAATTCAGAAATGGAGAGCCAAATTCAATATCCCAACAACCATACACAAGTACCAATCCATCTCTGAACTTGACTTCGAGTCCATTTACTGCTATTTCACTCAAAGTTCCAACTAGCTCAATGTACTCAGCAGTTCCAAAAGCATTAGAATCAGCATTTATCATTTTTAAAGCATGTTTAATATAAAATATGATATAATATCAGGAGAAAGTGAAAAATTATTTTCATAGTACAGACTAAATAAAGCTTGAAAAATACTTCCAGTTTGTAGGGACTAGTCAGGCTAAAGGACAAGCTAAAACTTTCATGTCTACTCCAGTGTTTTTAACAAAAAAATTAGGATTTTATCGATTAATTATGGGGGCAGGGCAAGAGTATAATAAGAACTACTAGTAAGAACTACTAAGAAGACTTGACCTGGGGCTTCAAGTCAGGGTTTAGATCTCAGCTTGCCCCTCCCTAGCTAAAGAGCCTGTCTGAGACCAACACTCCTCATCTACAGCACAGGGGGCAAATGGCACTCAGCTCCATAGTGTGACCTGAGGATGAATGAGATGGTGCAGTGAAGCACTTAACATGGCACTAGGCAAAGAAAAGCTATTTGTAATCTACAACTTTGCAAAATTCGTAAACACTGGACTCACTATGACCATAATACCTTGTTATTTTTGTTATACAAAAATAATATGAAAATACTGCACATTTATTGTGGACCAGGTTACCTTCTATTTCCTGGGGATAAAGAAGTAAGCAAAGCACACATGAAATTTCAGGTGACTCAACTGAGTCAGGTCACTTTTCAATGTTCAGAGAAATGACATTAGTGGATCAGAGTCACAGGAAAGGTATGTGCTGAAGGCCACACAGTGTCCTGGATGAGGAACTCACAGCAAGAAAGAATGTGGAAAAGGGGCTGGGGAGAGCGCCCCCACAAGAGGCCTCTAGCATTCACACCTGCAATGCTGAGAGCTGGGTCTCAACTCCACCCGCTCCACCTCCTCCAACAAAACCACACTTACTTGATATTGTGTAGCTTTCTCGTTACTATCATTGGAAAATCAACTTCAAAATATTTACTGGGGAGAAGATCTTCATCCTGGAGAAAACACACAAAGTCATTTCTCTACTCGCACATTCACTGATCTTCTGCCTTTTACCAAGCACTAGGGGCTGAAGAAAAATGGAGTGTTTAAGGATTTTAAGTCAGGGTATAGATATGGTCAGAAATGTATTTTTCAAATTACTTCAGTCTCAGCAAGAAGAATGGAGCTGAGGGAAGCAAGAACGCATACAGAAAAAAGTTGGGAGGCTTCTGTAGTTGTCCAGTCAGAAGGTCTAGGTAGCTTCAACTAGACGGGGACACCTGGGATGGGGATGATGGAACTGCAATGCCCCTGGGAAATCAACAGACATAGTATTCATCAAAAAAGTAGCTTCAGGACTGGTGGAATGGCTCAATTGGTAGAGGGCACTGAATTCAAACCCAGTACTGCCAACAAAAAAAAAAAACTTGAGATGAATTGTAAAGGTCAGGAAATCAATGTAGTGGGTTCTAACTAGCATTTTTTGAATGAAATACAACAAAACAGCAATAAGAAAGCTTCAGATGTAGTAGGGTAAGAATTATTTTGAGGACTAGAGGTATGGCTCAACGGTAGAGCCTGCTTTGTAAGCATGAAGCCCTGAATTCAAATACCAGTCCTGCCAAAAAAAAAAAAAAGAAAATAATTTCAATACTGTTTTTTTTCCCATAACAGCAAAGCACAGTGAAGTGGTGAAGAACAAGTGCTCTAGAGTAGTGGGCAGGGTTCAAATCCCAACTGTACCACTTACTTGCTGTGAGGTCTTGGAAAATCACTAAAGTCCCTGGAACATGGAACACTTGCAAGTGGAGAAAAGGGTAATACCTCATGGGTAATCATGGAGGGCACTCAGGAAAAGGCCTGCCCTTAGTACATATGCTGTCTATGCCTTTATTATTTATAGGCACAGGTAGACAGATGTGGATGCTGGCTCAAGATATAACAGTTATTTTTCACTGTGGGCTGCAGTTCAACAAGTGTGAAATACACACACGCATGCAGAATTGAGACACACACATACACACACATACAGCTCTGCTGCCCCTTCTGCTTTTCCTAGTGTGGTTGGTAGCTACAGCTCCCATCCAGTCACCCACTGGCCACCCTAAGTCTTCTCTCCATCCTCTCCATGATCAGACACACCCTCATTCAGCCCTCCTGATGATTCTTGAATCTATCCACTCCTCCCAGCCTCTGTCACCTCTCAACCATACCATATCAATACCCCTCTCTGGTCTCTTTCAGCTGCACACCTCACGTCACTTCCAGCAGCGCTTCATGCATCTAAGACTTTGGAAGAAACAAGGCCTAGTGTTTCCCCATAGTGCTTTTGATACCCCAGAATACAGAACTGCCAATATTTTTTAAAAGGAAAGAAAAAGAAAACTGCTTACATCCTGAACCTGTGATGGAGTCTCTGGTGTAGAATGAGAGGAAGGAAAAGGAGAGTGAAGGGAGGCACCCTTGGTTCTGATAGAACTGGACATGTAAGAGAATGATTTGTGAAGATGGTGAAAAGAGATGGAAAGACAGGTGAATACTCAGGGGAAGCAGACATGGCAACAACCCCATGTTGGGGATGGAAATCACAGCAACCATGTTCCAGCAGGAAAATGATCCTCAAAAACAAGCATCAGGTTGTGAAATCCAGCTACCTTACCCACATAGAGACCAGCCCTCTGTGGAAATTCCAGGGGATCTAGCATGGGGCTTACTTTAAAAAAAAGACAGACAGACAGAGAAGACGGTTTCCTGATATATCCTAGGGGACTTGGGCTTAATCTCAGCTGTCCACAATTAAAAGTCTGTGATCTTCAGAGTTGGGCTATGTAGAAGACACTTGAGGATGCTTGGAAGATATGTGCAGAAGGGACACTGAAATACCTTTCTCTAGGAAATTTTACAATTCACAGGCTTTTACTTGGGACTGGGGGTGTAGCTCAGTGGTAGAGTGCTTGTCTAGCATGCAAGAGGTCCTAAGTTCCATCTTCAGCACCACAAAAAAAATAACTTTTACTCAAAGGGTATGGAAATTAAGAGTCATCTGGAATTCCAGCAGAAAATGAGAAAAGTGAAAAGAAAATTCATGAGGAGACCAGAGTGCACTCTGTGTTTTTTAGGACTGTGCCCTTGTTCAAGAGCTGGCCCAGGCATTTATCACCTGAGCCTCCTGAGAATTCTCAAACAGAGGCTCCCCTGGAGCTTTTAAGAAACAGATGGTTTTGTTCTGGAATTGGACAAAGGAGAAAAACTGCTGTGGCAAGTGATGCCTTAACCTCTGGCACTGTGAATTTCTGTGGCCTTTGACAGTCCATTCCCAAAGAGCTCACACATTGTGAGTTGGTATGGAAGACACCAAAGACTAGGCAACATGACCACAGGGCAGCCAGGAACAGCATCACTCAGACACAGAGGGGACCCATCATGGCTGACCATGTCACAGGCTGCCAAAGTTAACACTGCTTCCCCTTTGTGTGGAAACAGGATTTAAGAGACTGAGCTCTCAAAAGGTATCACCCACCACTGATTCTTTTTTGTGACAATATCAGCTTTCTTGCAGATGGGAATCTCCAATCATGTAAACAGTCTTGGGCCCCTGGAATGATATGGAAAGAGCTCCAGCACTAGTAGCAGCAGAAAGCCCATGATTCATGGCTAAACCTCTGCGACACAACAAGGGAACTGTCCCAGCTGGAAGGTGCATGATAAGCAGATCATGGTCCAGGCTTTTGTACATTTTTATTACAACACATAGATTTTTAAAACAGAGATTAGCAAACTTTTTCTGAAGAGCCAGAAAAATAAGTATTTTAGCCTTTGCAGGCCAGATGGTCTATGTTGGAACTACTCAACTCTGCTGCCATCATTGTCATATGGCTGCTACAGCACAATATGCAAACAAATGAAAGTGGCTATGTTCCAATAAAACTTTATTTACAAAAACAGATGGTGGGCTAGATTTGGCCAGGGCCTAGGTTGTAATTCCAACTCTAGAAGTGCAAACAAGGAAAATAACTATATACACTTGAAAAGGAACTTTGGATTCTAAAAAAAGTTACTTCAGATCAATATAATTGTCAATTAAAGTTCAAAATGGCCACAAAACATTTTCAGATTTTCTGCAGTTCTCCTTCCTCACTCGTGACAGACAACTTTTATCTTAGAAGGGTTATACAAATCTCAGTATACTTTGCTCAGGAATAAAAATCTCAGATTTATTAATTATTAACCCACCTACAAGATTAAGAGAAAAAAGTAAACCATGTAATGAAGGGGTCTTAGGCCTCTGTCACCACTGACATAGTAAATCCCTTACATAGTATGTGCCCCAGTTCCTCACATTGCTACATTACAAAGACAAAGCAGGTCTACAGAAAAGGGAATGTCATCAAAGACTCCCTGAACAACCAAAGGACTTGTACGTAAAGAGGAAGGGATTTGAGTTTTGATGGGCTGACTCCAATGTGTGTTCCCCATCCAGTATCACTGGCTGTGGGACCCTGGAAGACACATGCTCTCTCAGCCCCATTTTCTCCATCTGTGAAGACCTCTCACAGAGTTATCAGACAAATTCATGAGGTCCTTATATAAAAGCATCCCATAAATGTTAGTTATCTTACCCTAAAAGAAGAATACAAAGGCACAATGAACACCAAGACCATATTGAGGCCACTAGTCCCTCATGTAAGAGAAAGGTTGGGAGTTCTAATGACCTTATCAGGTGAGCTGATTAGGAACCAAATAGCTAAGCAGGTCAGGTTATGTCCATAAACTCTAATTTATCTTGGTCTGCACATGCAAGGAATCTGGGAAAGGCACGTACCCATTACTGCCATATGACTGATCTCATAGAATAATCAAGAAAAATCTGCACAAACCTATAAAAAAGAAAACATAGCCAGGGAGGCCATTGTAGGGAAAAGGTTGAACAATGCAAACCAAGCCCAGGAGTCAAAAGGCAGCACTTAAGCCTGGTCTCAAATCAAGTTTCCTTCCTCGTGAGTATGCAATCTGATCTGTTCTCAAACCCTTGTAGGGTAGGTAAGGGATCCAATCAAAAAAAAATTTAAAAAAGGACTTTGCATTATAATATAATGCCCAGCTTCACAAATCTCCAAATTTTATCTGATATGTCATTATGTGGACAACAGATCTCAGTTATTGTCAAAAAAACAAATGCATGGACTCTTTGGCCCAGTAACTACTGTAAGAATTTTTCCTCTTGATATATATCCACATGTACAGAGGATGCACATGAATTTTTATTGTAATCCCACTTATAACACCACTAAGAAGCAACCTCATTTCACTAGGGCCCTGATGAGATAAAAACCAGGACTGGGTTTGGGAGGTATCTAGGTAAGTGGGGACAAGAGTGAGAGAGAGGCTTTCACTGCATACCACTTAATGTATTTTTAAACTTTTGAACCAGGCAAACATCTTAAAAAATTAAATTGAGGGTTGGAGGTGTGGCTTAAGCGATATGAAGCCCTGAGTTTAAACCCTAGTCTTACCCCTCCACACCAAAAAATTAAATTGAAACAGTTGGATGGGAGGGGAATTTTTACTTACCTTTAATTTCCAAAAAATGGTATCCATCCCAGCTCCAAGGTTGATAATTTGACAGTGACATTCTGTCTTCCGAAGGAATGCCTTTATAAGCTGACTGACACCATGGACTCGAGCAAAATATCCTTTGGGAGGACCAGAGAAACAAGCTATCACCCAGTGACAACACAAGTTCTCCTTACAAAGCCCCCCCATCAGAACCAAGTGCCATAAGGGACCCTGGTTTCTGCAACAGCTGTTAGAAAACCTGTCTCAAGACCCCAGATAGAATGCCAAGTAAAACAGTCCATCCTTATCTCAGAAACTACTGCCTTTAACACTTCTTTGCAGTTCATATAGAATCTACTGACGGAGCCCTGTTTAGCATCCATGAGTCCCAGTACACAGGAAAATTATAATTATTTGATCACTTTTTCTCAATGGGGCTGAAGATAAGTCATGCTCCTGTCTCAAATCCTTGGGACTTCCTAGATGAAAATTACTTAGAAAGTCTAATAGTGTTACTAAAACTATAAGACAACAAAAAGTAATCTCTCACATGAACAGACAGTTCACAGTAAAAGAATAAAAGGAGGTGTTTGTTTTGGTCTGATTTTTTTTTTTGAGATAGGGTCTCACTACTTAGCCAAGGTTGGCCTCAAACTCGATCCTCCTGCCTTAGCCTCCTAAGTGCTGGGGTCACATGTGTGTGCTACCACACCTGCCTTATTAGTGGATTTCAAAGATAGGAAAAATGATGCTCAACCTCACCTACAATAAAAGGAATATACAATAAAATATCAGTATATACCATTTTTCATGTACCAGATGAACAAAGATTAAAGTTTCATAGTATACCTGTTATCCTAGCTAGCTGGACAGCTGAGGTTGGGAAAATTGAAGTTCAAGGTCAATCTGGGCAAAAAGTTCATGAGACTCCATGTCAGCCAATAGCTGGGCATGGTGCTGCACACCTGTCATCCCGGCTATTCAGGAGGTTGAGATCAGGAGGATGAAGGTTCCAAGCCAGCACAAGCAAAAATGTTCCATCTCAAACAGGAAAAAGTTGTTCATGGTGGTGCATACTTGTCATCCCAGCTATAGTGGGAAGCCTACAATAGAATCACAGTCCAAGATGGTCTGGGCAAAAAGTAAGACCCTATCTCCAAAATAACCAGAACAAAAAAGGCTGTTGGCATGGCTCAAGCCCTAATGCACCTGCTTAGCAGTTACAAAGTCCTAAGTTCAAACCCCAGTATGGCAAAGTTTTATCATATACCATGTTGATGAGTGATGCTGGGAAACATGCCCCTCTGTATTCTGTTGAAAGTGTATACCCCGGCTTTCTTTAAGAACAAATCCCTAAAACCTCAGGCCTCATGGATGATGAGGAAACAGTGGGGAAGGAGATGGTCACTTGCCTCTGTTAATTTCGGGGGCTTTCCTTTCTTTAGACAGTCTCACAAGGTGCTGGATGTAGGGGTCATGCCAGTAACCAATGCTTACCGCAAACCTAAAAGGGATATAAAAGCAGACAGGTATGGAAATGAGAAGGTTCAGACCCAGGTTTCACTGTCAGGTTCCCAGGAATCAGGCCAAAGATCCACAGGAAAATCATCTACCTTAAGCGGCCAAATTCACATGTAGTGCCCCATGACTCCTTCAACCAGATTCATCTGTTCATTTTCATATTCACATTACACTGTCCTTCCTGCTTTCCAGCGATCACTTACCTCTTCCTCATATTGCTAATTCCTTTCCCAGAACCCCAAACAGCAAATAACCTCACCTCATACTTCAGAAAGATTGTAACTATTTGTTCACTAAGCAAATTCATCACCCAGAACTAGTCATATAACTCTACTAAGCCAAACACTCTGTTTTCAGAGGGAGACCCAAAAAAATGGGCAAACATCACTAATTGCCACCTAAGTATTTCTTCCAACTCTGTACTAGGGCCAGTCATTATACGTCCTTTGAGGTCACAGTGGGAAAACCAGGAACAAATAAGTAGAACAATTACAATGCAGAAAACACTATGATGATCTACATTCTCCCTACCCAGGTCTGCACTGCAGGAATTAAAAGCTTCAGTGTTCTAAGCCTGGGAGCTGCTGCCCTGATTATCACTAAAAGTCTCTGGCAACCAAGAAGAGCCAGACTTAGGACAACTGAGAAGTCATAACAAGAACTTGGATTCCCAAGACCATCCTAAGCCATTCTGGGCCTGTAGCCTGTGCTAACTCCCAATGTAGAGCTTGAGAGATGATTAAGTGTTCTAGACACTTAAGTGACATGAGTAAGGCTTCCATTTGTTCCTTGAAGGCTAAAGCATCCTAAGTGAAACCCTGGTCCTACTTTCATTTCCATCCTCCCTGACAAGTAAGCTGATGTTTTAAGTGTGTGTGTGTGTGTGTGTGTGTGTGTGTGTGTTGCATTGCTCAGTTAGAGTCTAAACTCCCAGAAGTGTGTGTGTGTGTGTGTTGCATTGCTCAGTTAGAGTCTAAACTCCCAGAAATAGATACTACATCATTTCTTTTCTTTATATCTACCAATACAGTCTGCTGTAAGTACCCAATCTATACAAACCTGTCTCTACAATCTTGCTCATTGATGTTTACACATCTATAGACACCCACGAGGAAGCACCTAGGTTTAGCTACTTAATGCAGCAATTGACAACATGCAAAACACTGACTAATGGACATGATTTGCTATGTAAGTCCAGGCTGTCCAAAGAAAACAGCAGTTTTATAACAGTAAGCTTGCTCATTTATCTAAAATTGAGATTTTCAGTGAGTTGTGACCATAAAGTCAATTAGTGTACACACCTACACTTTTTTAAACATGAAGAAGAGAATGAAAAAGATCATTAAGAATTACATATAGTAAGGGTAAAGACTATTTCACAAATGTTTCACGTTGACAGTCCAGTTCCAGTGAAAAATCTGCTTTCTCACTGTGGACAGGCAGATTGATAGATTTCAAAGGAATCGTCTAGTGCCACCTACTGGTAAAAATCACATGGGCAGTTGAGGGGCCAATGGTTCTTTCCAACTCTCATACTAAAGTGGGTTCTCATGGTGTGGTTAGGAACAGGATCTCACAGTTTGACCTGGCCTAGTGGCCACATTAAAGAAAGTTATTACATGCTGTTGGGAAGAGTAAGGAAGAGAGGGCTGTCTGGCACCACTGGCAAGAGTTCTAAAGGGAGATGAGCATCAGATTTCAGGATTTACAAGCCATCAACTGGAGATTAGCTGAGCAAATGACAGTGTACATACACAATGAAATGCTAACCAGTCATTTAAAACACAAGCCATAAGACTCAGACACAGCAAGATGTCTGTGAAACAAGACCAAGAATATATGTGGCCCATATGCCCAAAACCATATTGTGTGCATCTATGTTACTCAGAGAATTACGAGGGGGATTGATAAGAAAACATTAGCAGTGATTATTGTTGCGATTTCTGCTGTTAATTTTTTAATTTATCTACATTTCCTAAATGTTCTAAACCAACCACAGGACATATTTCATGAACTCTGAGATGCCATCAATTGTAACATGCACCACCAAGAAAGAAAAACACTGTCAATTACATTAACTTCCACTTATCATCCAGAATTTTAACTTTGTAGTTATTTAAAAGTTCTTTTAGACTTCTTTAAACAGACTGTAATAGGCAATCAAATTGCTTTTGCTGAAATGCACTGACTCCTTACTTGGGCACATAACTTAACTAAAAACAGGAGAAGCTTTGGCATCCCTGCCTCCGTTTTGTAGCTGTCTTTGCTCTAAGCCACTCTCTTTGAAGTCACTTTGCAATCATCTTGGATTCCAGGAAAGAAAGATAACATTTTCATGGCAAGGGACAGAAACTATTACCCAACAGTAGACCTTCCTCAGGATGTTCCAGTCCTCAGTTGTTCCAGATAACAACTCCAGAACCTCTCCCCAAACTTGGACTGAGATAATGACCACCCACACCACACCTGTGTCTGAACTATTTAATTATGCATATCTTCTGTCCCCTGCCCCCAGTTCTTTTGTCTACTTAAACCTATAGCTCATGTCTGTACCCCAAAAATAGCTGAAGATGAGCCAAGTGCTTACTCTGCTTCTTCCTATGGTATGTCCCAAGCCATATATAATAAACCTCCTTTCTCTGCCTTTACCATGCCTCTTTATTTGGCGTTTAGGAGCAGGTGGCCGGATCTGGCATACAAAATCTCAGGATTTTGGGCCTGGGGCCCAAAACTCCAGTTTCAAGACTGTTTTATCCCTCTCTCTCATACACAGACAATGGAAAGAAGAGTGGGGGAGGTCTAAGCGTCTATACCCGAGTGCTGGTGGCATCCACGGCACTGGATGAGGCAATTCTTAAAGAGTGCTCCACCACCATCTGGGGTCTTCTTCCAAACCCTGGTCCTCACTCTGTGAGTTTTCATACTGCTTCTTTCCTAATTGCATCAGAGGTGTCAAAAGTCAGTTTTCCAACAACTGGGATTTTTGCTCCTCCTTCAATGGTCTTTAAATGGTATGAGAAAGGCACCCAAGGATGGTGGTGACATTCACATCTGTATGTACAGGTGATGTCAACTTTATCTAACACACTGACAGAGACTGTAGGACACATGGAGAATAAATCAGACCTGATTCCAAAGAAGCTAAAATGCAAGAATCCATGTGTCACAGAATCAAATATAGTACTGCTTTCAGATGTCACAAACAAAAGGCAAGTATTAAACTAGGAAAATACCCATAACATGTCTCATAGTACTCATATTCTCACAATATAAAGAACCCTCCCAAATTAACAACAAAAATAACTCAAAATCTCAGAGGGGAGAAAATGGACAAAAAACAAATTGGGAGCCAGGCACTTGTGGCTCACACCTATAATCCTAGCAACTCAGGATGAGAAGGATCATGGTTAGAATCCAGCCCAGACAAATAGTTTGCAAGACTCCATCTCAAAAAAGGGCTGGTGGAATGGCTCAAGGTGTAGGCCCTGAGTTCAAACTCCAGCACAGAAAAAAAAAAAAAAGAAAGAAAAACAAATTGGGGAGTGATTTACAAAAGAAATAAAACTGATCAACAAACACACAGGAAGTTCAGTCCTAATAATGGAAAAGAAAAAAAGGCAAGGCCCAAAAGACCAAAAATCGTATGTTCTCCCTCATATGCGGACATTAGATCAAGGGCAAACACAACAAGGGGATTGGATTTTGATCACATGATAAAAGCGAGAGCACACAAGGGATGTATGAGGATAGGTAAGACACCTAAAAAACTACATAGCATTTGTTGCCTTCAATGCAGGGAAACTAAAGCAGATACTTTAAAGCAACTGAGGCCAATAGGAGAAGAGGACCAGGAACTAGAGAAAAGGTTAGTTCAAGAAGAATTAACATGGAAGGTAACACACATGCACAGGAAAGCAATGCCAGTCAACTCCCTGCATAGCTATCCTTATCTCAACTAGCAAAAAGCCTTGGTCCTTCCTATTATTGCTTATGCTCTCTCTTCAACAAAATTAGAGATAAGGGCAAAATAGTTTCTGCCGGGTAGCGATGGGTAAGGGGGGTAAGGGAAGGGGCAGAGGGAAGGGGGGAGAAATGACCCAAACATTGTATGCACATATGAATAAAATTAAAATTTTTTTTAAAAGGCAAAATAAAAGCCAAAACAGCAGTATTTCTTATATCAAATTGTCAGCACTATTTTTAGTAGAACTTGGCTGTAAGAGGGAGGAGAAAGAGGGCACTTGAGCATGGGAACCCATGCCATGCCCATGAATAAACTGACACAGTTGTACCAGGTGCTGCAAAGTGCTGTGGCAAACAGGTATAGGAATCCTGGAACACATTGTACTCAATGAACAAACATTGAAATGTCCCACTTCAGGTCTTTATCCTAAGGAAATAACCAAGAATGGGCTCAAGAACACTATGAAGTTAACAATACCAAGTGAACAAAGCAGGCTTCTAAATTATATGTATCAGATGTTCCAATTATGTTAAAAACTATGTGTGTGTATACACACATATGTATATGTACTGTGTATGTATGTACACACACATACACAAACATACACACACACACACACACACACACACGAAGGTCACCCAGAGTCGGTATCACAATGTTCGGTGTCATCAACAGCAGTTATCTCTGCACTATCCATGATGCTGCTTTGCCTGTCAGTTTCCTCTGCACTGTGCCCACAAAACCCAGAGAACAGCTCTGTTTTTTTCATATTCTGACTCCATGTTTAAAACACAGATTCAAAGAACCAAAACTGCTAGATTAGGAAAAACCCTAAACACCTTCCCACTCTATCCAATCCACTACTTTCAATTTCCAAATATTCATTTATCATCTGTTCAATGTAATAGGTATTTAAATCACTCCTGACAGATCACTTTTTTTTGTTCACTTATTTAATAATAGCCAGGGCTGGTGTGCTCCCTGGTATTTTCTTCCAATGCAACAATGTAATAAATACC